CTACAAGCTGATTGTAGCCCAAACTGAAGGTAAAATTAGAACCTGAATATTAGCAAGAAAGCACCTAAATATCTTTCTGCTCCACAATTTTAGCAATGGCGACAACACGGCGGCTAGCCTAGAGCTACAAGGGACACGCCTGAACCTGGTGTCGTCCTACATGGCTCACGAGGAAAGCGATCCTCCCAGTGACCTCGTTCGCAAGATTGCCAGCGACAGCGAGAGGTCGGATACAAGCCTACTAATAGGCTGCGATGCCAACGCTCATCACACCCAATGGGGAAGCTTTTCAGCTTCATCCTGAACTCCAACCTAATTATTGGTAATCGGGGTAATGACCCCACTTTTATCATAAAAAAACCGTCAAGAGGTTATTGACTTCACTCTATTGTCTCACAAACTGTCAGACATAATGGAAAGTTGGAGAGTCCTAGAGGACCACTCCTTCTCCGACCACAGGTACATCGAGACAATCCTATCGCTCGAAAGCACCATACCCACTAGCTATATTAATCCAAGGAAAGCCAACTGGGATACGTATAGTGCAAAAATGGAGGAATTACTCCCCCCCCTAGCCACAAAATGCCCGGACACACAAGACGATCTTAATCGTCTTGTGGACAATTTCACGGAAGCTTGCAACAAGGCCTTCATGGCAGCTTGCCCCTCAACCAAACCAAGAGGGAAAAAGAAACCCCCCTGGTGGTCTAAACATATAGATACCCTCCGGAAAGACTGCAGGACTCTCTTCAACAGAGCCAAAAGCAGCAGCGAGGAAGCGCATTGGGAAAATTACAAAAGTAAGCTAACCCTATACAAAAAAGAAACAAGGAGAGCAAAAAGGGCCTCTTGGCAAAAATTTTGCTCCGAAATTGAGGACACGTCAGAAGCCGCAAGGCTACGCAAGATCCTGTCAAAAACATCACCCTCGGTGGGATACCTCAAGAGAACGGATGGTACGTGGACAAACTCTAGTGAGGACTCCCTACACATTCTACTCGATACTCATTTTCCTGGGTGTACGACCATCGAGCCGGCAGACACCCCAAGTGAAGGCCCGGAAACCTCGATGGGGCACATCCTCACAAAACGGAATATTAGCTGGGCAGTAAACAGCTTTAAATCCTACAAATCGCCTGGCCCGGACCAAGTCATTCCGGCTCAGTTACAAAAAGCCGGGGACATGGCCATCAACTGGCTGCAAAGTATCTTCAGGAAGATACTTACAGTGGGAAAAATCCCCCGTGCTTGGCTAAAGGCTAAAATAGTCTTTATCCCCAAAGCAGGGAAACCCTCACACACAACCCAAAAGACTTCAGACCAATAAGTCTATCGTCCTTTCTTCTCAAAACCTTTGAGAGACTAGTCGGGCTGCAGCTGAGGACAACTATAAATCCTCAGTGGCTGTCAGGCGCTCAACATGCCTACCGAAAAGGAAAATCCACGGAAACGGCACTCCATGAAGTAATCTCGGCGGTAGAGAAATCTCTACACGTCAAAGAATACTCCTTAATCGCTTTCCTAGACATTGAGGGAGCTTTTAACAACTTCATACCAGGAGCCATCACAGAGGCCCTGACTGACCTGGGAGTGGATCGTTACTTGGTGATGCTCATAGATCAATTGCTCACATGCAGGACAGTGGCATCATCAATGGGATCGTCCACTCAGTCAAGGTATGTCAACAGAGGCACCCCGCAAGGTGGTGTCCTGTCTCCCCTTCTATGGAACATAGCAGTCAACAAGATTCTGTGTGACCTGGAGGGGGAGGGCTGCATGGTGGTAGCATACGCGGACGACGTTGCCATTATCTTCTCGGGAAAATTCCCTCAAACACTCTGCGATCTAATGACCGCGAAGCTCGCGCGACTGTCAGAATGGACAAAGTCGCGTGGACTGGGAGTTAATCCCTCTAAAACGGAACTTGTGTTGTTTACAACCAAATACAAAATCCCGTCCCTCAACCCCCCAATACTAAACGGATGCAGGCTCTCCTTCAGCGACAGTGCCAGTTACTTAGGTAATTGATAAAAAGCTTAGCTGGAACCTGAGCATCAAAGACAGAGTGAAGAAGGCTACAATAGCCCTCTACACTTGCAAGAAGGCCATTGGGCTAAAATGGGGCATGAACCCAAAAATAGTCCAATGGATCTACCTAGCAATAGTAAGACCAATACTGCTCTACGGAGTCGCAGTGTGGTGGCCTGCCCTATCGAAGGGGACCATCACTAAACAACTAGGCAAGGTGCAGCGTACTGCAGCCCTATGCATCAGTGGAGCTCTGAGCACAACACCAACGGATGCGCTAAATGCTATACTATGCCTGCAGAGCCTTGACCTTGCAGGTAAGGAGCAGGCAGAAATGGCAGCAATCTGTCTTAGAGACTCTGACCAATGGGTATCACATCACACCGGTCATGCGTCCATCCTAAAGGGAAACAAAATCGTCCCCACAAAAACGGACTACTGCGTTCCGAGGGAGTATACAGAAACCCCCTTTGAAACAATCATCCCTCACAGAAACAACTGGCTTGAGGGACCACCTGGTCCAAAGGGAGCCATTCGAATCTTTACTGATGGCTCAAAGGAGACTGGACAACAAGGTCGGAGGAGGAATCTACTCCGAACAGCTGAACATAAGTCACTCCTTCAGGCTCCCGGATCACTGCAGTGTCTTCCAAGCGGAAGTCATAGCGATCAAGGAAGCTTTGAGCTGTCTTCAGAACTAACCCCTGCAACTCACATAAATATCTATAGTGATATCCAAGCTGCGATGAAATCGCTGAATGCGATAGCAACAAGCTCGGCTACTGTGGCAAACTGTCGCAAATCTCTTCATGAGATGGCTTATCAGTTCGTCATCAGCCTAATATGGGTCCCGGGCCACCAGGACATTGAAGGCAACTGCATAGCAGACGAGCTGGCCAGAGCTGGAACAACAATCCCCCTTCTCAATGATAAGGAGGATATTCGTATGCCAATGGCCACCTGCAAGCTCAAAATAAAAGAACATTTTAAGCGACTAATCAATGACAGATGGCAAACTGTGCCACTATGTCGCATAACTTGGCAAACATGGCCTAGCATTAATAGGAAGCGCATCGATGAGCTCTGCAAACTCAGTAGGAGTAGGTGCAGCTCAGTCATACGCTCCCTTACGGGACACTGGCTAATAGGCACAAATGCAAACAGGCTGGGCGCCCCATATAACGACTTCTGTCGAAGCTGTAGAGATGAGGACGAGGAGGAGACTGTGGAACACCTGTTCTGCTCCTGCCCGGCTCTCAGTAGAAGGAGACTTCAATACTTGGGCGCTCCTTTTCTAACTGACATTTCGGACATGTCTACAATCAGTCCCAGACGGATCGCAGGCTTCATAAGGCCATCCGGATGGGATAATGGATAACATAGGGTCTCACGAGGGAGAATGGGAACGAAACATGCGGTATCACAACGGGCCGAAACCGGCCTAGGTGTGTCGGGTCTCTGACAACCCCGACAGCCGCCTCAACCTAACCTAACCTAAGGTACCGTTCATTAAAATCTATAGATAAGATACTTAAGTTATGTGAAAAATAAAAGCACTACCTCTGAAAAAGAAACATTAAAAAATACCAGATATTAAAAAATTCTTTAAAAAAAAACTAAACTATAATTTGTTAAAAATTTTTAAACCCAGAAATCTATAAGAAAAAGTCATTTTGGGCCATTTTTCGTGTTGACTAGTGTAATCAAAGATTTTGCTCTTATCAAGCGTTGCACTATGGGGAAAAAGTAAAAAAATTTGGCATTTATTCTAAAAATAAAGCTAGTCCTCTACAAATTTGCACAAATGCTCGTTAGACTAAACTAGAATTTCGAAAAAAAATATGTTGTCTTTTGGACCACTCGGTGAGTGGTTGTTTACATAGGCAATAAATTTGTCACTCTCTTTGAAATTGCAATCGATTGGCCTCCAGTGAGATAGTTTTCATCAATATTTTCTAAAATATAAATTTTTACAGCGTCTGCTTTTCGTTTGTTGTTGATCCCAACTTCAAGCAGCGATGCATGAGTGAACTCTTGAAGGTTTCTGCAAAATGCAATATTTCCCGAAAAGGTGCAAAAACGGGCCGAAAGCATTAATACCATTTCATTCTACATATATTAATTGGTTCAAAACTTCTGTCTTTAACCTTGGTGATTGGTTGTGTTACGTAACTTTGTTGGTATACAGCTTAAAATACACTCGAACAACACATAGGAAAATTCAATAACACATTACTATCTAAAAACATGTAAAATATTAACAATAAATCTACATACCGTGACCTGTTTTTCCATATTTACACTTTCAGTTAATATTTAGGATCGATTTAACATTCAAGCTGCAAGTTTTTCAATGTTTTCCAACTTTTTTCACAACTCAAAGCAATAAATTAATGGCATTCCGTAAAAATGTTCTTAAACTAGTTTTGTTCTATCTTGTTATTAAGGAATCGAAAAATTAAAACCGCAATAAAATATTAAACACAAAAAAAATTACATTAATGACAAAATTTTCGACTTTTTTCCCCATAGTGCATTGGTCTCGTCGGTACGTTCGATATGAGAGGACATATTGTTCCTGTATGTGGAGCCCACAGTACAGTACAGCAACAAATTCTAATTTGAATCTGTTCAAACACAATTTTTAATCTTTGCCCTTCGTAATCAAATAGGATTCTGGAAGACTCTATTCACCATATTGATCTAGGATACTTATTGGACTACTCTCATTGCACCATCGCAGAATATGCAATAGTGTGATGTTTAAGCACAAGCTCCTACTTGGGATTGTGGACTCCCAAACTCTTTTGGGACAGATTGGACTTTACGGCTCCTCTCAGAGGTCAAAGTACTCCCAGCGTTAACCTTTTGGGGTTCTATTCCAGAACTAAAATTCCATTCGCCATCGTCCTAAATTTCCCTTCAACTTGACTCTTAATGAAGTAATTAGAAAAAATGAAATCACAACTTACCCAATGCTTCAAATATAATTTCCCCGTATAAACGGATCTCAGATTCGTTTAAAGATTTCAATATAATTGTAAACCACACATTTGCAGATTTTTCTGATTCTTCGAGGGAGTATTGATTGAGGTAACATATAAGTAGCCGGTATCCAAGGGCACGGGTTTTTCTTTTCACGAGTAATTTAGTTATTAGTTGAGACACAATAAGTTTCTAAGTGAGAAAAATGTGTTGTTAATGAAGTAGAGATTCGGGGAAATAGCAACATACCTTGCTCCATATGATATGATTTTCGTCAAGCATGTTGAGGTAAATACTTTGAGTTTTCAGATTCGTATTAGTAATACATTCCAAAAGATTTTCAATTTGATCCATTTTCTGAACATGTGCTGTTTTGTTGTGATAATGCAAGATTCTTTTCATCGCGTTTTTATGGATCATAATTTAAACTATCGATATTTAATGGAATAGAGGGTACTCCAGTAAATATTCGTAATGGAATAGAGGGTACTCCAGTAAATATGGATAATAGCCTTTTAATAGGCCGCTTACACTGGGGCTGCGTCATGCTTCTTTGCGTCTTGGCGAAGACGCAGTTTTTTTTACATAGGTTAAGCATAGGGCCCTAGTGGTGGCAAAAAGTTGCGTCAGTGTCTGATTCATGTGCGTCTATTCGGTATATTCGATTGATTTTGCTAATTTTTGTACTTTTCTGCTATCAGCGCAACTATCACCACTAATAACAACAAAAAATTGTAGATCAAAAATCAAATTTTGGCGCTAAAATGTATGATTGTGCAAAAGGTGAAAATATACATAAAGTCATTAAATAAAATACTTGAAACTGATTATTTATTATTATCATATGAAATTTTTGTGATACCCCTGATGCCATTAAGACACTGCTGGAGACGAACTCGGTGGTTTTCATAATTTGAAGAAGAACTCCCACAAACTCTACAATGAAATGTCTGAAAATAATATTTAAATATGAGAATCAATTCTTTTTCGTCCATTTTCCTGACGTCTTGCTTAATTCTGTTGATTTTCAAAAATTTGTGTATCTTTCCTTGTCATCAAACACCCAAATCCAAATTCAAGACGCACGTCTTCCAATGTAAACGCCTTTTCTGCTTCATTGCGTCTATGCCGATATCGATAGCAGACGCGCCCAGTGTAATAGCCTTTTTACACTGGGCGCGTCTGCTATCGATATCGGCATAGACGCAATGAAGCAGAAAAGGCGTTTACATTGGAAGACGTGCGTCTTGAATTTGGATTTGGGTGTTTGATGACAAGGAAAGATACACAAATTTTTGAAAATCAACAGAATTAAGCAAGACGTCAGAAAATGGACGAAAAAGAGTTGATTCTCATATTTAAATATTATTTTCAGACATTTCATTGTAGAGTTTGTGGGAGTTCTTCTTCAAATTATGAAAACCACCGAAGTTCGTCTCCAGCAGTGTCATAATGGCATCAGGGTATCACAAAAATGTCGTATGATAATAATACAATCAGTTTCAAGTATTTTATTTCATGATTTTATGTATATTTTCACCTCTTTGCACAACCATTCATTTTAGCGCCAAAATTTGATTTTTTAACTACAAGTTTTTGTTGTTCTTAGGGGTGATAGTTGCGCTGATAGGCAGAAAAGTGCAAAAATGTGCAGTTAAGCGCAAAAGCAATCGAATATATCGAATAGACGCACATGAATCAGAGACCGACGCAACTTTTTGCCACCACTAGGGCCCTATGCTTAACCTATGTACAAAAAACTGCGTCTCCGGCAAGACGCAAAGAAGCATGACGCAGCCCCAATGTAAACAGCCTATACAATGCAATGGAAGCAGAATACTGAGCTCGCTTATGAACAAGCTCATATTTTGTTGCTCATACCAAAAACACTCTGCACTCGTAAATATTAACCACAAAACTATTACTATTCAGCACCCCTTGGCCTGTCTCCAGCACTGCGGAAAATTCCTGCCAGGAATTTACTAAGTATTCTGTGGCTAATATAGCCTGAGGAATCAGCTGTATTGGTTACAGTGACAATTGTGAAAGTTCAAATAAAATTAAAATAGGAAAAAATGAACTCTGGCGATGAAGTGATAATGATGATGAAGAAGGAATTTGCATCTCTCTATTTGGTTTTGCGAACAGTTTTAATTTCATTTGGTTTTTTATTCTCATATTGCAATGTTTGTTTCGTATTTGCTGGCAATAAATATCAAATTGATATAACTTTCTAGGTGGGTCGAAACATACCAGCAATACAAGCCAATACTTCTGATAATATTTAAGTAAATATTGACCTTTTTTGTTGATCTGAGTACTGCCTTCCGTACAGAGCCTAGAAAACAGGTTTGCCAGAAAAAATTTCTTATAGGTTTCGTACGAATATCAACCCTGATTCTGTTCGCGAGGTCTTTCTTCAGATCGGAGTACTAGGCTTAAAGCCGAGGGCCAGAACTCAGATCAACAAAAAAAAAGGTCGGTATATACTGGAAAAGTATCCGAAGTATTTGCTTGTTTTTTTGGTATGTTTAGACCCACCTCGAAAATTATATCAATTTGATATATTTTGCCAGCAAACACGAAGCAAACATTGCAATAAGAGTACAAAAAACCAAATGAAATATTTAAATAATGATGGCAAAGAGAATCTAATTCATGCCGCATTATATGAAGGACAATTGTAGGGATATTATAATTTTTAAATTTTTTTATTTAAACAGATATTGTTTGCAAAACATGTTGTCTTCAGGGTAGTCGGCACGGGAGGCGTCGTCATCTGCTGCTGCTGATAGTCAGACACATTACCTTGACAATAAAATATTGGGGAGCCCAGGATATGCCTGGGGAAGAGCGACCCCAGCCGAAGAAGTGCATTTTATTAACTTTAAACAAAACCAAGCAGCTGTCTGAGCAGTGTAACCATACGGAATGCAGTGCACACCTCTGGTCACACCAGAGGTGTAGCTTTGTTGTCGTTGCAGTTTTATATTACATATATATGTACAGTTGCGAAAAAATAATAGAACCACTACAACAAATTTTTCTCTTGATACAAAAAAATGCGATGAATGTTACGTTATTTTTAATTTTTAATTTTTTTATATTGTTTAGTATTCCTCATAACAAAAACAGTATTACTGTTCTTCAAATTTTTTTCTTTATATATATATTTTTATACCCGTACTCAAAAAAGAGTTAAGGGGTATATTAGATTTGTGGTAAAAGTGGATGTGTGCAACGCAGTGAAGGAAACGTTTCCGACCCCATATAGTATATATATTCTTGATCAGCATCAATAGCCGAGTCGATAGAGCCATGTCTGTCTGTCCGTCTGACCGTCTGTCCGTCTTGTTTGTCGCCTTGATCTCAGAGACTACAAGAGCTAGAGAAACCAAATTTGGTTTCCAGACTCATGTGATATCACACTGCTACAAGTGTATTTCAATTTCGCCCCGCACCTTTCCGACCCCACAAAGGACGAAAAACTGTGGCAGGCACAATTTTAAAGATACGATAAAACTAAAAATGGAGTATCGTGGAGATTGATCATATCTACCAGATTGCTGAATCTGAATCAAATCGGATCATAATTATAGCCAGAATGAAGAAATTAATTTTCAGTGGCTTCCCCCGTCTACTTCAGCCAGAAAGCTACTCATTCTCTTTCTCGCTCGCACACTCTGCCGCGTTCAGTGCTCGAGCAACCCCTAGCGGAGGACATGTAGAATATTAATGGTACATCTATAATCTACATGTTAGATGTAAAATATACATTGTAGATGTAGATAACAGATGTAGCAAAAAATGTACAATGTAAAATTGTTTTTTAAATTCTAAAAAATTCTGCTCAAAATTGTATATACTGACTAAGTACGGGTATAAGTAGAGTCGCGTCCCCAGAAGCGACTCACACGTTCCTTCTCGTTTTTAGTGAATCCCCGATATTTCGCAGAATTGTTTTTGCCTATAGCACGTGTTTTTATTAGTTTTGACTAAGATATCATTGTTTCTATCATAAAAGTTAATAATTATCATTAAAATGGGACGCGGAAAAACATACAGAGAAATTGGTCAATGGATGGTACAATAAGACCATGCTCTAATAAAATTATTAAAAACGCCTAAAACTATGAAGAAAAGACTGAAAAAAGAGGACGAAAATTATTGAGTTTTTTTTTTATGTTTTTACTATCAATTGGAAATAAAACCCTAATATATGTACCTCTATGAAAAGGTAATATTACAAGCGTTAATATACCATTTTGTCAATTTTTGTTTTTTCTTAGTTTTAGTCATTTTATTAGCGTTTGAAATTGAAAAAAAAAACCGAATATTAATGTTATCCACTGTATGACCACTAACCATACAGTATATAGATGTGCCAGTTCATACAACGACAGGGGCGCAGCTGAGTTTGCAGCGTACGTTCCCAGATCTTCGGCTTTGGGAATGGCCGCGTTGGGCTCAACCCGCGTCGAGTCGAGCTACAGAACACACCAAGAAAATATGAAGTCTTACGACGGGAATAGTTCCAGGGCCGGATTAGCAGTTGCCTAGGGCCCCCTAGGGATAACAGAAAAATTTTGTTGAAAAAACAAAACTCCAAATAATGAATAAAAAATATAATAGCCACTGAGGAAAATACAAAATAAAGGAGGGCCCCAGATTGATGGTTGCCCAGGGCCCGGTTGAGGGTTGATCCGGCCCTGAATAGGTCGCTACATCACAACCGCCCTCAAAACAAAACGAAAAACCAATTCAAGCGGCCAAAAATTGTAGAGCCCACACACAAGCACAGTATGTGTGAATACATGGCACACACACGTTTACGTAAACTGAAATCTCGAACAAAGTCGGTTTCGGCAGCTAAAAATTATTCTATGCATACAATCATATATTTTGGAGTGTACACGTACACAACACATGCATGCTTGCTGCCAGTCGGCTCGTCTGACGTCATGATCCCAACGCGGCCATTCCCAAAGCCGAAGATCTGGGAACGTACGCTGCAAACTCAGCTGCGCCCCTTTCGTTGTATGAACTGGCACATCTATATACTGTATGGTTAGAGGTATGACCCATCTTCATGTCTAAAGACTAATTCGTCACAGCAAGAATGATCCCTACAAGCCTGCTACCGAGCTTAAAAAAGTGCTTAAAATAAATGCGACGGACTAAACAGTTCGCAGATATCTTAGGAAACATAACCTTAAAGCCTGCAGCCCAAGAAAGGTACCACTTTTAAATGCGACACATAAAATTAAGCGCACGAATTTTGCCAGGGATCATGCAAATTGGACATCCCAAGTATAGAGAAATATTCGATGGTCAGTTGAGTCCAATGAATCGATTATACGTTAGACGTCCAAGTACACAGGATTCAAACCCCAGTAGACCATAAAAACCATTAAGC